CTAAAGTACTGTGGCGTCCAAAGGGAAAGAAGATAGAGCAAAAGAGTCGCCAACAAGTTTTTTTAGGAACTTGTAAACCGTTCACGGGGTGAAGGTTACACCCCTTAATGATCCAAGAGATCGTCAACTCCATAAGGTCTTGAACCAAATAGGGTTCAGGGATGAAGGTACAAATCCAACCTAAAAGAGATTGAACCTGCCCTAATAATAGGCCTCTACTTTATTCAGATCGTATTCATGTGCGCTTTCTGACTAACATGCAATCAATAGGATTAGCCCTAAACCTGTTTAATCTATGTTGGTTGAATATTAATGCACAAATAAATCTATTATTGGCCATCACTTGAATTATAACCATATTAACCCTAAACAAGATTATTAATTATCTTATTAAGCGTGATTACAAGTACCAAATTCCCATTAAACATGTATAAAAGGCGTGATCAAGCAATAAAAATAAATATCAAACAACATAATGAATAATCATAAAAATAATCAATATAATAATTATAAAAATAATCATAAATCATGTTAAAGCATAATAACAGCAAGATCCTAGTCATGATACTAACAAGATTAATAACAAGCCCTAGCATGTTACTAAACAATAAAAATCAAAGCTTTAACCCTAACATGTTACTAACAATCATAAATATTAGGAAGAACATAGGAAGCATCGTACTTTTAATCATACTTGATATTAAATTTACCCTAGACATGATACTAGGAATCATAATAACAATCTAAGCATGAATTCTGTATCATAACATCAATAAAACCATTAAAGTACTTACTTTGATGCTTCGTACCTCTTTCTAATAACAAAATACACACGTTAGTAACTTCAAGGAAAATAATAAAATCAACAATTAAATTAAATAATGAAAAGAGAGATTTGGGACCAAACCCTCAGAAATTAAACCTTTCACGTCTAGGGCGAAGGCAACTTCGAATATGGCTATGTGTTTCTAGATCTAATGAATGCGAAATTTTTATATTTGAGAGAAGCTAGTTTAGAAAAGAGAGAGAGAGAGAATAATCAAGAGAATCTTGATGAGAGTTGGTGAATGAAAACGGTTGTTTTTACGACGTTATTTATAAAGAAAATCAGCCAAAAAGATAAAATATCAAAACAGAGTTCTAGCGCAAACAAAACTGAATTAGCGCCAACGCTGGCCATTGGCGCCAGGCACCAACGTTAGCGCCAGGCGCTACAGCTGGCGTTTGGCGCTGATCTAGAAAATCACACGTTTTCTTAAAATCAGATAAAAATTGCCGTACAGGACGATAAAATCGTATTTCCCTCAAAAATGCTCTTTGATTCTAATTAAAACTCTGAAAAGTCAACAAAAGTCAATTTATCAATGATAATTGAATTAGGAATGAAAAGAACCTTCTAGAAGAATCTAGAAGACTAAAAACATTCCTAATTGCATTAGTAATGATAAATCTATATTAGGCCCTCCCCTAGATCATTGGGCCGCATATAAGGCTCAAACCGGACCCAGTTTAGTAAATTGGCCATAACTTCCTCAATATTTATCGGAATTGGGCTTATAATATATCGTTGGAAAGCTCTTGTCAAGCCCCATCCAACTACACTACTATTGGACCCATATCGTGGACCAACCAAACTGGATTGGCTGTTTTCTTAAAATAAGTTTTTAAAAACAGAGAAAAGAAAAAAGAAATTAAAACTATCCGCAACACTAGACTTTCCACACTTTCACTTCATTCGATTATAATTCGACGTGAAAGATACTCATTACTGAGTTTGGTTTTAGGGAGACACAAATGGGTGTCTACATAATGGTTCTTTGGAAGTGGACTACCCAATTAATTTATTCATACGGATCATACCCAGTTACAATCAAGTACAAGATAGCAAATTAAATCCTACATTTGAAGAGATTACATCATTTAAGTTCATATTTCACTAACTGTAACAATGGCGTCCTGCTTCTGAGATTTCACCTTCTTCATTCCATTAATTGACTTGTAAGCCGCTGAATTGAAGATCTATTCAATAGTTGATTAATTGAGGTAATAAGTTAAAGAAAAAAAAAGCAAAAAAAAAAAAACGAATTAAAACTCTGTTGCTCATTTGAAAATAACTCGCTTTCTGGTGAAAGAGACCTTAATTTTCCAATTGAGGAGATTAATTCAACTTCCACAATCAACTATTAGAGAAGGAAGCGGGCTGAGAGGAGTATTTGCTGACTGAAAGCAAAGAATTTAGAATTCTTTTTACGAAGATTCACAGAGATGACGACGAATTTCAATGGTAGTTATTTGGGAGCTGATGACTGATGAGGAGGTGGGAATGTGGGATGCTAATATCTTTACAACTTTAAAAAAAATGTTATTCAATGCTTCCCCATAACCTGCTACAACAGGTTAAACAAGTAGAATACAAAGTTTAGTACTCTAATTGCAACAAGTGGAAAATGAGTACCTTATTTGCAATTTTTGGGAAAGTTTAGTACCTACATTTGTGCTTAACTCTTTATTGTTGTTGTTACAATTTTAGTATGAATTGAATTTATGAATTGAATAGTTGTTGAATTAATTTCTAATTGCCTAGTTTTTGAATTGCAGTGTAGTTATTTTTTTTAATATCATAAAATTAAAGCTATGATTAATTGATTATAAGAAAACATGTAGAAATCAATCAATATTTCGCCCAAAAAAAAAGAGAGAAATCCATCAGTAGAAACTTTCAGCATTTTTTTTTCTCTTCCTCCTTTTACCGTTAGTTTTTAGTAATGTGATAAAAACTTGGATGAGCTAGGAGCACGCTGATTGGTATTTTAGTACCATGAATATGACAATGCACTATACACCCCCCTGATACCTCCTTATCCCATCAAAGTTTTGGTCATCTGATATAATGACAAATACTCTGTAACCACCTACTGCTATACTACCCTTGATACATAAACATAACTGTGCAAGGTAGAATGATAATTGATCCTCATCCAAGATAGCTACAAAGGAGGATTTGCATTACACCCAAAATTACATTAAAAGATACTTCTCAGGTGTTACTTTGTGGTGTAATGTTTGTTTTGTTACTTTGGTTGATGTTTAGCCATATCTTGTTTGCAATGAGTACCAAACGGGCATCATTCACTTTGGACATTGTGACCATACTTTGGGAATCCTGCCGGAACATGTCACCCCAGCTGGGGGGAAAGTTGATTGGGATGATGTTGCAAATATTTTTAAACACCCGGATAGGAAAGACATTTTCAGCCGTTTCTGTTAAGAATTGGTTCTCGAGTATGAAAGAAAAACACAAAGCTTGGAAAGAATTGAAGAGATGGACTGGTCTTGGATGGGGGCCGAATAATTGCCCTCTAGTTGATCTTCAATCAGAAAAATGGCTAGCCTTTTCTTAGGTACTTGTTGAGTATTTTTTTTCTATTTAAATTTCTATAATGTACTCAGATGTTTTTTTTCCCACTAATGCATCTCTTTGAAATGGAATCCTTTTTCAGAAATATAAAGCCAACGGAAGATCCCTTCTTAGGACTCCATTCGAGAATGAGCAAGAATGGAATAACATTTTGAAAGGTGGTTATGCAACTGGTGATTTAAGTTTTACACTTGCTTCACTTGGGCAGAAAGAACAGAAAGATGTTGCTGAAGTTGAAGATGAAGGAGTAGGTGACTCTGATGATGTTCAAGGAGATGAAACCCAAACCCCCAACATTGCCATCCAGCCTCCTATTGCCCGAAGTGACTTAAAAAAACGTAAAAGCATTGACAGCCAGCCTTCTAGAATATCTGGTAAAAAGTCTAGGGAAGAGGATATTGATGTGTGTCTTGATGTACTGAGACGATCCTCTTTGACTCAATCTTCTAAACCCAAAAATGCTTTTGATGAAGTTCTCAGTATCTTGGACTCCATGGGGATTTTAGAACAGTATGGGGAAGCCTTTGCTGTAGATATTCTTGATAGCTTTCGCAAAACTCCCAGTGCCATTGATCTTTTCACCGCTTTGCGTTCTGATGAAGGGAGACTTCACTTCATCAGGAAGCATTGTAAGTGTCCTGATGAAACGTATAAGCCAAACACCACTTTCAGTTCATTGATATCTAAAGATGTCTTGATGTATGACAACTAGTATGTTAGGTTCGAACTTTGTGACTTTATGCCGGCTTTTATGTTTGTGATCAGATTTTCATTGTGAATTTTAGTTACAACATATGTTGTTGTAATATGATCGGATGATTTCGGTTAAATTATTTCTGTTATGTGTGTTTGTATCAACTTTTGTGACCACTATGTATCAAATTTTATTTATCCTTTTTATTTTAAATTTCGTATAAAGTAATTTGCGTTAAATTTTTTGTTGGTTATGTAGAATGGATGATGAGTTGGTGCAAGAAAGTTTGACACGTATAGCATTGTATGAGCTACGGAGATTGATGTCCCAAGTAGAACGGATACCTATGCATGTTGGTGGGGAAACGGGGAGCCAATGGATTCATAGGATGGTGACAGGCCATCATAATTTGTGTAAAGAACAACTTCGGCTAAGTAGAGAAATATTTATAAGTCTTGCTAATGTCCTCAGAGCACAACAATTGTTGACAGATGGTTCTGGTAAACATATGCACATTGAAGAGCAACTTGGGATAGGTTTGTACATGCTTGCCAAACCTGCTTCCGTTCGTGATGCTGCTGAAACATTTCAACATGGGGTATCTATTATTTCGAGGTATTTCCACAAAGTGTTAGAGGCAGTGCAGACATTGTCAACTCAAATAATTCGACCTTATCAAAGTCTGAATGAAACACCTCCTGAAATTCAAAACAACAACAAACTCTGGCCTTTCTTTAAGGTACACATTCACATTAAATTTTCAAGATGATTAATGTCTATGTAATAACAATGTTCACTTTTGTGCTTAGGATTTTGTTGGTGCCATTGATGGTACCCTCATACATGCATTTGTTGCCGATGCTATGGGCAAGGCCTACAAAGATCGAAAAGGGGATAAATCATGGAATGTGATGGCAGTGTGTTCACATAACATGTTGTTTACTCACATCAACGTAGGCTACGAAGGCAGTGCACATGATAGCACCGTTTGGAAGCGAAGTTTAGGAGAAGAAAGAATGGGATTCCCTCATCCACCGCCTGGTACAAACTAAATTTCATGAATAAAATGGGAAAATCTATTAGTTTCGTTAACTAACATTATCATTATTGCACAGGAAAATACTATGTAGTTGATTCAGCGTATCCTAATACACTCGGGTACTTGAGTCCCCATACAGGACGTGATTTGAGGTATCATTTGCCTGATTTCAAGAGATCAGGTCTGTAATACCCTAGAAATTCCTTTCTTTTAAAATACCTGTTTTGCCTTGTTTAAAAATTTAAATAGGAATATCTAAGATATTACCGCCACCGTGAAAACGGCTAAGGCAACCATCAAAGACACACAGCGGAAGACTAATTTCAAAACCATTCAAAACAAGTCAACTTGAAAAGTCAACCAACGAAAGTAAAGTCAAAACCAAAGTCAAACGAAGTAAAATAAAACTATCCTACAACTTGGAACCGTTGTAGGTCCTTATTAAAACCAAACCAACTTTAAAACTTTTGCGTTAGTCATGCATGATAATAATATCATAAATAATTAAAGCATTTAAACACATCATATACTTATAGAAAGTAGCATGATTCGCTCTTCACTCATGCCCATTCATGAATATGCTTCATCACCTGAAAACCTCCTCTCTACTTGTCCCCACTACTCGCCATTAGAAAATGGGTCGTCGTAGGGACAATGTAAAGACATGGCCAAACACACAAACACACACAATCATCAAAGCTGAGTACATAAGCGTAATTAAACACACTAACATGCTTTCACCTATCAATACACACTTACCTCATTGCACCTGTTTACTAGCACACACAAAAATCAACAAGACACATTAACTAGACACTAAATAATTCATTTAGCGTTGATTACGCATCGAACGGGTTTCCAACTATACCTCCCCCAAATAAATTGAGGTTAACTGACATGGGAGCTAACCGTGCCAGCGACAAAACCACTCAAAGGTGGCGGAATTCCTGCGCATAATAATAAATAAAAAGGAATGTAATGCGTCCTGTACTCCATTAGAAGTTATGGTTAAATATAAAACCCCATAACTCCCCCATTGTTCATACTCAAGGTATATATGTTCCAAGAGTTTTGGTGCGTAATCTCTTTCACTTTACGTTATTTACATGTTATTGGACTTGGTGATGACTCTCAAAGCATAATAAATCAATCAACCATAATTATTCAATCAACCAAACATACCAATTTAATTCTTGAATAACTAGTGACCATATATTATTTAATGTTGAACCTTTTTTAATTCTACCTCAGTGTCAAAGATACCTTAAACGCATAAAGCGCCAAAATCCTATCCCTCGGTGTTAAAAACACCTTAAGTGCACAAAGGCACCAACATACAATTTATCCCTTGTGTACATAGACACTTATATAGCTCCTTCCTCATGCTTAAAGCATCAATAAAAATTATTTGAACCATAATAAAATTCCTTTTCAATATACCAAACATAATTAAACATGTAGTTTAATTAATCATGCATTCTAACATGCCATAAATAAAAGTGTGGTTCAAACAAAACATGCCCAAAATATAATTTTCCAATCCATAAACTATCACAAATAATTCATGCTTCACAATTCAATCACCAACACCATTAATTCACAATTCCATACATAAACCTTAGCATGATACTACTTGTAATTGATTGAAATCAAGCCTAGCATGATTCTACATCATCAAAATATGCTAAGTACGCGAACGTACCTCAAATAAGCTCTTAAAATAACCGAGTACTCTACAACAATTCTCGAACCAAGTCTCCTACATAAAGGGACAATAATACTATATTAATTCTCCTTGTATACACAATTTTCAGCAACTTAAATTTACTTTAGACTACTTAAAATAATCTGAAAATTATTTAAAAACCCCTAATTAAACTCCTTTTTAATGGATAATCGATCACACCCTTTTATTAAAAATCACAACTATACTACTTTAAATAAAATTCCAACATTTTAAACTAATCAAAAACCCTTTAAAACTTCATCAAAATACTTCTTTATACTTAAATTATCCATAGAAACATTAAATTATCTCTTACCCCTTTTAAACTCAAGGATAATATTTAAAGCATAAAAAAAACTTCGTTAAAAATCAAAAACTGTCCGAAAATCATATTTAGAGGCTAAATTTGGCCACGAGAGGGTGGTGCTCACTACCGAGTCTTTCTTAAAACGTTGTTTCCACACGAAAAACACTACTTTTTTTTTTATCAAAATCGGAGGAGTTCAGAACCTGATCGGGATTAAAACGGGATTAATATTAACGAACGGAAATCTAATAATTAAAACATGAATTTACGTGTTCAAAATAATCTGGAATTAAGTTAAACTAATAAGTAGTTATAATCACAAAAATTTCAAAACATCATTACTATAAAAGCCCTAAATCAATTATTCATAAAAACCCTAAAATCATGATTTTCAATAATTAAAACCCTAGGTTATAAAATTTACAAAATCTGAAAATTATAAAGTTTAATCATCAAAATACAATTTGATACTAATTAAATTAATTTCAAACAATAAAATCAAAACTCATAAATCAATAATTATAATTACACAAATTAATAAAACAAAGAAGAGAGAAAATAAGACTAACCTTTTTGTGTGGGAAATTTTTGAGGATTCATGGGGTATTTATAGAGTAGAGAGTGTAGGGTTAAATTTGGGCTTATAAAAATGTGGGCTTGAGTTATGGGATATAGCTTAAATTATGGGTTTTGGAATGGGTTATTCCAATAAGAGTATGTAGGAATAATTTATATTGTCTAATAATTAATAAACATTTGGCCCAAAACATATTTTACTTTATATTTAAAATACTTTAACCCTTTAAAATATTGAATTAAAATACTTGAGCCATTGACAATACATTTTATTAATACTTAAATACTTTATAAAAATACATAAAAATACGGGGTGTTACAAGGTCCTCCACAAGGAATGTTTGAGCATTTCAATTACCTACACTCGTCTTGTCGAAATATAATTGAGCGGATTTTTGCGATTGTGAAAAATAGGTGGAAGGTTCTACAACCTAAATTGATGCCGCAAATGGAATTAGGTTTTCAGTTGCAAATAATCGTTGCTTGTTGTACTCTACACAATTTTATTTGTTTACATGAACTAGGGATTCCATTCACGCACCAAGTTGAAGTCATGGAGCGAAGAGAAGATCATACTATGTACGATCCTAACAGAAAAGCAGCTATAGATATTGTACGACAAGAAATAATTGATCAGATATGGGAGTCAGTTCAGAGGAATGCCGAGGTAATGGAGGAGCTTGGTGGACAAGAAGAAGACGAAGAACTAACTGACTATGAAAATTAGTTTAAGTTGTGTAGTACTCTAATTTTCTCAATGAGATTAACATTAGAAATGTGTATAAAAAAATAGAACCATTTGAACAATGAATTGTATCAATATTATTATTATTATTATTATTAATTATTGATGATTATTATTATTATTTATTGATTATTATTATTATTATTATTTATTGATGATTATTATTATTTATTGATTATTATTATTAGTATTATTATTTCAATTATTATTGTTATTAGTATTATTATTTCAATTATTATTATTATTATTATTATTATTATTATTATTATTATTTATTACTTATTGATTATTATTATCATTACTATTACTATTTATTACTTATTGATTGATTGATTATTATTATTATTATTATTATTGTTGTTGTTGTTGTCGTCGTCGTTGTAATAAGAGCTTACAAGAATGAAATTTGGCTTTATATCATTAGCAATATCATTAAACATAAGCTGAACTGAACTAAACTGAGCTGAACTGAATTTCAACGGAAGAGAACAGACCGTTAGCCATTTATTTATTATACGGATCTAACCCTTTAATAACTGTGGCGGGTTATAGAGATCCAAAGCGTCCAACACATTGAATTGCTCACTCTCAGATTAATTAGATATCCATTGAAGCGCAGTTGGCTTTCACCGTTGAACCTAGTTCTTGTATCCCCCATTGAAGCAGCTTCCGAGGTAAGTCGTTTGTATTTGTTACCATCATACCAAATATCCCTAAAATTATGAGATAATTGAATAAAAAATCCTTAAAATTATGAGATAATTGAATCAAATATCCCTAAAATTATGAGATAATTGAATCAAATTTGGTTGCTAATGTATTGCACAACACTTTGTTAGGATTCAACTATGAAATCAGAGCTCTTTCCCCTGGGCCCAGGGCTGTCCTGCCTAGGGACGGGCCTGTTTGATGTTTGAATCAAATTTGCCTTTAATATTAGGATGGAACTATGAAATTGGACCTTTTCTTCCTATAGTTCTGAGCCTAATTTGATGATTGAATTAAAGTTGGTTGCTAATGTATTGCACAACATTTTAATTTTAGGATTCAACTCTGACATGTGATTATTCGAGCTTAATTTGATGTTTGAATCAAATTTGCCTTGAATATTAGGATAGAACTATGAAATTGGACCTTTTCTTGCTATAATTCTGAGCATTGAATCAAATTTGGTTGCTGATGTGCTGCAGTACCCTTTAATGTTAAGATCGAACTATGAGATTGGGACTATTCTCTCTGGGCCCAGGGCGACTGCCCCTCCTGTCCGGGGACGGGCCTGCTCACGATCTCTTCCTTTTTTCAAACCCCTCGAGGTTTCATTTGCAACGAACAAAGTGAACATTAGATTGATGAGGATGGGTTCAAATGGTGGTTGTGGGATTCCAGTAACGAAATTGCCGAGGCATCAGACAGTTATGGATGTGGCAAGAGTTGAGCCAGATGGACTTGATGAAAAGGCCCAAAAGGTTGGAATTTCTGGCTTTTATACTGGTGTTATTCCTTGTTATTATTCCTAAAAGATATATATGTGTGATTGAAATTACACATTGACAAGCATGGAATGAGAAACGATGCAACTAAAAAGACAAAGTATTTTTTACCTTCAAAATCCAGTCGTGCTGATATCCACTCTACAGGGATTTTTATTTTGCATAGATTTCTGTCCCTTATTGCAGTACTGCGACTTGATTTTAAGTGAGTTGGATCTAAACCGAAGAATTTGGAAGTACTGCAGTCATACTATAATATTTGATTAAAGTGTAGAGGTATTGCTGCTTTTCCCCCCTTTTCCTGTTGCTTTGAAGCCTAGAGTCATGGGAATGTAAACATGTAATTATTCATTATTAAGAAGATGCAAATAAATGAAGTATTAGAATGAAAGAAAGTATTTCTGATATAAATGGTGGGAAATTAAATAAACACTGATACTGTCTATCTCCATTGCAAAAAGCCCATATATTGACCAAGTGTGGATAGAGGCATATGCTTGTGCATGAAGAAAGTGGTTATTTTGCAACTGGATGTGAGTGGATTGGTCATTGCTGTCACTTGGTGGCTGTATACCTTGTGCTAGATATTGATTGACTCTATATCATTTTAAACTCCTTGACATTCTTATAAATTTCATCACCTAGCAGAGAATGAAGTGTAAGTAGTGAGCCCTAGTTTGAAGATTGAGGGTCCTTTAGGTGAAATTTGCGGTTGACAAGAATGAGTAGATAATTTATATATATATAAATATATATTTTTGTGGGAAAAGCTGAAGGGGTAGAACTGAACTACAACTAGCTATTTATAGTCCACATATTGGTCTTTTCATCTTATTTTAGCCTTTCACAGAGCTTCACTAACCTCTTGTAAGTAATGGTTGTATCAAATAATTGTGCAAAGTCATTGGTATTAGAAAATGTTTGCTGTGCCTCTAGGTGAGATTTAAAACAAATCAAATGTCTTCAGAAAATCTTTTCAGTTTCTGAACCCTGGGGGATTGTTATGTATAGGATGCGTTTTCTTTTCTTGTTTCCACAATTGTTGGCTGTTGCTGGTTTTGAAAGGGTGTGTTGTAGGAAGTTGACGAAGGCAGCAACCTATTGGAAAAGGAAGAGATGCATTTGGAAGAGCAACATAAAGCTGGTCAGTTGAAGAACAGAATTATATATGGATTTGTGATTGGCATTTCAGTAGGCGGCATCATACTGGCAGGAGGATGGGTTTACACTATCGGTGTTGCTGCTGCAGTTTTTATTGCAGCAAGAGAGTATTTTGGATTGGTAAGGAGTGATGGGATTGCCATAGGAATGACACCGCCACCTCGATATGTGTCAAGAGTTTGTTCTGTTATCTGTGCTCTTATGCCTATTTGGACCTTGTAAGATCTACTTCATCACCTTTGATTCTCTGTTTTTGGGTGTGATTTTATACTTCTCATGCTATATCACCAGCTGCAGTTGTGGGATATGAGTTAAAAATAACAAATGTGCCAAGTCAACCATAGCAAATCTTTTGTGTTTGTGCCATCTGTGGCTGTACTGCTGTATGCTTGACCATTTAGTGGATATTATATAGTCCTCTTTTGTGTTTACCCACTTTCCATTTTGCGGTATTTTATTTATGTACCCAGCTCTAATATATTCTATTTTTAGCAAATAGGTTTTATAATCTTAACCTTCTTACCTCACAATGTTTACACTTCTCCATTTACTTTGTCTTACTTTACCCACCTATTTCTTACACCACCCACCTTTTTCTGACACCAACTTTCCTCTCCTAAAACAAGAGTTAAAAATAGGTGTTAACTGAAACATATACGAAGAGAGTATCCACTTTGTTGGATGCAATATCTCTGAATAAACTTTTATTAGACCTTAAATCCCCTAATAAATTATCACACTTTTCTTATTTGGGCTGTTCCAAAAACACACACACACACACACACACACACACACACACACTTCTATTTCAAGATCTTTCCTTCTCTCTTTATCACATCACCCCTTTTTCTCTATGTATTGTGAGTTTGTGACGCTATTTTTTACTTTTCTTCTTGCTTTATTCTTAATAAAAAAAAATATTCACATTTCTATCCATTTTATTCGTGCTTCGTGATAGTCTTTGAGTGATGGATGGAGTATTTGATATTTTCCAAGATACGTACTATAATACTATATGAGTTTATAAATCATAATGTACAGTGGATGCAGCTTGCAATTGCAGATCTTATTGTCATATTGTAACATCCGTAATGACTTTCCTAGTTTTTTTTTTTTTTTTTTTTTTTTAAAAAAAAAAAATTTTAAAATTACCCCCTAGCCTAGCAAGGGATCAATAGAATTTGGAGTTTGATCTGTTTTCCGTGTGTGTTTGGGGTGGGGGTGGGGCTGGTGGGTGGGGGAGGTATCTGATTATGACTGGTGGCAATAGGTATTGGGTTCTTGTGTTGTTTTCTTCCACTTTTTCATCTCAGAGGCTGATTGAGCATAAAACATTTTATTTTTCCTCTACATTTTTTTAAAACTGTCCAAGCGTTAAGCTAAAATACATGTCCAACTTTCAGATGATTGTGTGTGAAGATATAAGCTGGCTTTTGTATCAGAAGAGTATGGTTTTCCATTTGTTGCTTGGAAGTAAATCATGGATTGATTAAGCTTTAATGCTTTGTCATAGTCAGTTTCTTGCTCTGCTTGGTTTCATATTCTTCTCGTAGGTAAATTTATCGTTTCTTATGAAAGTCATGATGATGGACGGGAGAGCTATGAAAATATGCATGTTATTCTACATATTGAGAAAAAGCCTTTTCCCTGATCTCATTTGGGCAATCAAGCACCATGTTCATCCCTAATTCTCTTCCCTTGGAAGATAAGCAACTGCTAGCACTAGCATCAACAAGAACTAACCTCATCTACTCTTTCCATTTGGTAATGCCCAACTTATCCTTCCCTCTCACAGCTTGAAGATGTCATATAAGTGCTCTGTCTACTCTTCGCTTTTGAAAAATCAAGATATTCACACTTTATCCTGTATTTAACACTAATATGTTCAGTAAAATAGTTTCAATTCAGTAAAAATAATTTCAGTTCAGTAAAATTAATTTGAGTTCAGTAATTTATGTTCATAATAAATAGTATAAGCTCGGCAAAAATAAGGTGAAGAGAACAAGGCCTAAGCCTCCTAAAATTTATAACACAATTTTTCCAAAAAAAGGAACATACCTTAAATACCAAGAAGATAGGCTGGATGGAAAACAGAGAAAAGAATGTGAAAAGCTATCTCCATAACTGAAAACATGCTTGAGATACATGGGTTTTTTTTTGCAATCTTAAAGAGAGATGCCTTTGTTATTCAGGTTTTGATGGTATATGATAATTTGATAACTACATATTCACTTGAGTATAAATTTTCTCTGTCTTTGCTGATCTCTTTTTTCTTTTACTTCTTTTTCTTCTTTTTTAGGGGGGTGTTAAGGGTATTATTCAATTGCTTACTTTTTTTTTGTTGCTTTTTTTTTTTTTTTTTTTTTTGTTGTTGTTGTCAGGTATGCTGGTCACAT